ATGGAGGAGGGGAGAATGCTGTTGGGAAGAAATGGAAAATGGAGGAGAGCAAAGGGATAGGAACTAAGCCGGGGGCCAACTAAGTGCCAAGATGCCTAGAGCCATTTTCTCCCTCCTGTTAACTCGGGAGGAACCTGTGGGAAGAAGGTTGGGAGTGGGGCGGTGAGAAGAGAGGAGAGAGTAGGAACGAGAAGAGGGGTGGCGAGGTGGAGAGAGAAATAGAAACTCAAGAGGTGGAAAGGGCGGAGGAGGCTGAGAGAGCAATGAGGGGCCTCGAGGAGAAGTCTGGCCCGGAGACGAGAGAGGACATCCCGGAGAAGGCCCGGGGGCAAAGCGGCGGGACGGCTGTGCCCGCCGCTCACCTCGGCCTTTGCGCCGCACGGTCCGCAGCAGCATGGTGTAGTGGTCGCGGTCGCCCTCGGCGAACTCCAGGTGGTCCACGGTGATGTTGAGGCGGTCGCGGACCCGCATGTACAGCCCCTCCACGACGAAGAAGCAGGACTGGTCGTCGCCGGGCTGGTAGGCGTAGAGCACGAGCGCCTGGCGCTCCCAGCCCAGCCGTCGGTGCAGCGCCGCCCGAAATCGCCCAGTTTGGCGTGGCTGGGCCCCGCACGGGTGGTCAGCGCGTACTCGTCCTTGGCCCCGAAGCCCAGCGCCGGGGCGCCGGCGGTCAGCAGCGGCACCCGCCAGTGCGCGGTGAAGCGGCCCACAGGCGCGGCGGCGTACACGCAGCCCGGGCCCAGGAACACCGCCGGGTTGTGCTCCCACTTGAGGTCCACCGCGGCGAGGGGCGCGGCGGTGTCGGAGCAGACGCCCAGCGCGCTCTCGCTGCTCCCCAGCACCGTGCGGACTGTCCAGCCCGGCAGCAAGTCCGGGCGCGCCTTCACCCGGGCCAGGGCCAGCTCCACCGCGGGTCCCACGCGCGCCCAAGACCACGGGTACGAAGTGTTGGCCAACGGCAGCACCACGGCCACTGTCAGGTTGCCCGCGTAGCCGCCCGGGAGCAGCAGCAAAGGCGGCAGGAGCAGCAGCAGGCGCAAGCGGGCGCCGGAGGGGGCGCCCGGGGGCGCGGCATGGCCTCAGCGGGCACCGCGGCGAGCGAGCTCTCCCACCATGGCCTCCAGGTCCCCTCCGGCTCAGTGGCGGGTCCTGGGCACCGGGAGCGTCCCAGTGGGAGGGAGGAGGAGAGGGGCGGGGGCGCTCACCCCCCAGGGCACGCCGCCCTCTCTGGCTGAGACTGTCCGCTCCGGGAGCGCCAAGGGCGCGCGACCGAGGGGTGCGCCCGCCGAGGGCGCTGCGGAGCAGGTGGGTGCGAGGAGAGCGCCGGGGCCGACGGGACCCGAGTGTGAAAGCGTGTGTGTGTGTGTGTGTGTGAGTGAGAGCGTGTGTGTGTGTGTGTGTGTGTGTGTGTGAGAGAGAGAGAGTGTGAATGTGCGCGCGTATGTATTAGAGAGAAAAAGGGAGCGCGAGTGAGCGCTCGGAGAAGGATGGAAGAGGGCGCGAGGGAGGGAAAGGGCAGTGTGAGTGTTTGTATGTGTGCGTGAGCGCCTGGCCCAGGGAATGTGCCAGAAGGGGCGTCCGGCCGGCCCAAGTCTCCCGCTGTCCGGCGCAGACTGGGGAGGACCCAAGCCAATCTCCTAACCCTCCCTCCCCGCCGCTTCCCCTCCCAGACTCCCAGACCTTATTGCCTATCCTGCATCTTTAACTCCTTCCTCCCCGCCCTGAAATCGCGGGCCCTCCCGCGCCCCCCATCCCGTGCGCTTCCCGTTAGACCCTCTAACTACTTCTCGGTGGCCAAATGCCTTCCTACTCTGAGAAGCGGCACCCGCTTGAAGGGGCTCACTCGCCAAGATGGGAAGGTAACTTAACAGAGATATGTGTGGGAGCAACCGAGGGCCTCTTGCGTCCCACCTTGTCCAGCTCCTCCTACCTGGTTCCGTCTGAGGAAGAAAGAGGTGCTGGTTTGGGCTCTTGGCAGGAAAAGGTGTGAGTTTGTGGATGTGTGTCTGGGGGTGGGGCAGGACGGTGATGGTTTCTGAAAAAGGTGTTAAATGTAGATGAATCCAGGGTCCCCGTGACCAGTCCGTCTAGGGTCTCACCCACCCCTAGCTTCCAGATTGAGCGGATTAGCGAAGAAAAGCATTAGGTGGAAGGGCAGAGTTAACTCTTTAGTTCTCAAAGGTTGTAGGAAGTGGGAGGGAGAGCTTGTAGGTGGCTGGAGGGGGTAAAAAGGTGTGACCTCAGAGCCGCTCCCAGAGTTTGTGTGTTTGCTTTGTGTTGAGGAGGATTATTAAGAATGGGATTTGTGGGAGCGGTGGGGCACGGTGTTGGAAATGACCCGTTGGAGACTAAAATTGGGGAGAGGGTTTTGGGGCCCTTGACGGCTGGGCTGCTGGCCGGAGAGCCGGTGGAATTAGTCTGCCCTCTAATGGTCAGCTGGAGTCATTGACGATATTGCGCTGCCAACCTCTCTACTGTACCTAGGCAGGACCAAAGATTAGCAAACTTCTTTCATACAGCCAAGAGTCCCAGAGGACCTAGTACCCGTCAAGCACAGGCCAGATGCTGAGTGCGTAAAGATGATGTTATATATATATATATATATATATATATATATATATATATATATATATATACTACGTACTATATATATATATATATATATATATATATATATATATATATATATATATATATTCCGTACCTCGGAGGAACTCTATTTGGGACAGATAGATGTAATGTAATACAGTTAAGCACTACATCAGAGAGATGGGTAAATTCTCTGGACCTGGCAGCAAGTCCAGAAAGAGGCCTAGGAAAGGACTATTTTGCTTGCAGTGGGACCAGGAAAATCTCCAAAGAGAAATAATTCAACAAGGATAGGAGGATGAGAAAGGTATTCTGTGCAGAGAGATCACAATATTGAAGTATGTTTCCCATACACTTAGGAGAATTTTGAATATTCTAATGGTCTAGAGCAAACAGTTGGTCCATGGGAGCCCATGGACCAACTTCAGACAGCAGGCAGGCATGTTTTGTTTGACCTGCAGTCTCTCTCATACATATATAATATTATTTAATTGCCCACACTTAAAAATCAGTAGATTGCACATGAATATTTGGATTTCTGACTTATCTTGAAATATTGGAGAACAGGTCCTGCATCTCTCCATGAACAATCAGCTGATACCAAGTATCCATTACTTCAAAATGGATGAGTCCAATTCATCACAGTTCCTATTCACCCTGTTCACTCATTTGCATTCCTGGCTGTAGGGGGAGTATATTTTTTCTACTCTGATCTAGAATATAAGCTGTGTGCATGTAAGAATGACTGAGGAGTAGAGACACGAAAGGGCAGCAGAGGGCAGATCACGCAAGCTTTTGTGTGACAGGCATAATGTCTTTGTCCTGTAAGGAGGGCTCCAGAGGCTATAGAGGTAGATAAGAGATTGGGAGAGTCTTAAAAAACAGTTTTATTGAGGTATAATTGATAAACCATAAGCTATGCACATTTAGTATATACAAGTTGATGAGTTTGGATTTTTACATACACCCATGAAACTGTCACCACAGTATCAAGGTAATAAACATTTCTATCACCTCCAAGTTTCCTTGTGTCCTTTGTGTGTCTGTGTGTGTGTGTGTGTGTGTGTGTTAAGAATACTTAACATGAGATCTACCCTCTCAACAAAATTTTAGATGTGTAATACAGTGTTGTTGACTACAGGGAGATGTTTTGTAAGTAGAATCAGTTGGACTTCAGGAACAAGGACAGCATACAAATAACTGAAGTCTAGGTGATATTGACCCATTAGTTAAGAAGCTGAAGAAGCAGGTTTTGGGGGGATGATAACAATTTCAGTTTATTGGGTTTGAGCTGCCTGTAGATACACAAGTGGAGGTATCCAATAAGCTATTGGATTAGTGGAATGAGCTCAGGAGGAGGCTAGAAATCTAATTTAACATGGGAGGATATAGCTCAGTGGTAGAGGGTATAGCTAGCATGCTTGAAGCCCTGGGTTCAGTCCCGAGTACCTCCAACAAAATAAATAAATAAATAAGCATGATTACCTCTCCCTGCAAAATAAAGAAATCTAATTTAGTAATTGAGCTTCTCTTTCAGCAACAGTGGACTAAATAATTTGTCCAAACTCTGAGCTGAGCTGAAAGAACTACAAATGTTGGATGAAATGCTTTTTAAAATCAAAGAACTAGGAAGACAGTAAGAGCGTGAAAGGACAGAAAAGCAGTGAGTTGAGACCAGTGTTTATCCCGAAATCATTTGCTGATTTCAGAACTGGTGGCAGAAAATAGGCTGTATGGGTCGAATGAGACAAAAGTTGGGATCCAAGGGTCCCCAAAGATGATTACCCTGGTAAACCACCTTCCTATTTTGGGTTAGGATCCTGAAAGGCTGCACTCCTAGGGGAAAATAGGAGTAAGATAAACTAGAAATAAACAGAAAATCCAGAGCTGAAATATTCAAAAGTTAAAATTAAGGACCAATCAATGGGTTTAACAAAAAGTTAGATTTGACTGAGGAGTAAGTTATATATTGAAAGAAAGGACAGAAGAAGCTACTCAGAATGAAGCATGGATAAAAAGGAATGAAAACCGTAAAAGGGAGGGTTAGAGATATAAAGGATACTGTACGAAGTCTGACATGCCTTTATTTGGCACCCAGGAGGGAGGGAAATAATAGAGTAGAAGCAATATTTAAAGAGATAATGGCTGAGAAACTTAAAAAATAAAAGAAATACATCAAACCATGGATTCAAGAAGTTTAACAAACCTCAAGTAAGATTAAAAAAAAATCCATATCCAGACCCATCAGATGGAAACTGCAGGAAATTAAATCAAAGATGAAATCTTTAAAATACTCCAAAAAAAAAAGTCAGAAAAAAGAGGATTGATGAACTTCAAATAAGCAACGATTTGACTAACAACTTTTTTTTCACAGCAAAAAATGGAAGCTACAGACAGTAAAATAATATTGTAAATGTATTGTAAGAAAATAACCCCCAATCTAGAATTCTATATCTGGAGAAAATATCTTTCAAAAACAAAGGTGAAATAAAGTCATACTCAGAAAAACCAAAACCAAGAAAGTTAGCAATCAGCAGATGGGCACTAATTCTGAAGGCATATTATTCCAGATGAATGTTGGGGATGCAGGAAGGATTAAAAAGCATTAAAAATGGTAAATCTCAATGACCACTAATTTAATTAATAAGCATTAATGTCTTGTGAGATTGCAAATATATATGGAATTTAAATTCGGTAAACATATGCACCTACACTTACCCAAGAGTAACAAATGCATCTGACCACAAGAATCATGGTCAAAAATGGTCAAAGCAGCTTTATTCATAACGGCTCCAAACTGGAAACAACCCGAGTGTGTTTGCCTGTGTCTCAGCCAGTTGGAGGTCCTGAATTCATCAACAGGAGACTCGATATACTGTGCAATATTTATGCAATGGAATGCTACTCACAAATAAAAAGGGACAAATTACTGATAAATGCAAAAACATAGAAGAATATTGAAACGTGTCAAGCCAAAGAAACTAGACAAAAAAAAAAAAGAGAGCACATAGGATGTGAGTCCAGTTATGCGAACAGACACAACTAAATTATGATAATAAAAATCGGAATGGTGATTGCCTGTAGGAGGAGGGCAAAAGGGTATAAGCAAATTTTTTGAAGTGATTAAAGTATTCTTTATGTTAATCTGTGTGGTGGTTACATTACTCAAAATTAATCGAGCTGTAGGCTTAAGATCTGTGTATTTTGCTGTAGTAAATTATACATCAATATAATACTTAAAAGAGTTACATAACAATATATATAATTCTGGAGTGATGGTGGTAAATGGAATTGAATTATTCCTGCATTTTTCACGAGTAGAGTAAGAGTATTACATAAAATTTGACTTTGCTGATTCAAGGAAGCATGTAATTTTAGGGTAACCACTAAAAGACTAGAAAAAGCGTACATAACTTACAGTTAACAGAAGGGAGGAAATACTAATAAATATTAATCAATAGAAAAGAAGGTAAGAAGGGGGAGAAACAGGATTATAGAAAAGACAAAAAACCCCACAGTAGTGTGATTGATTTAAATGCAGCTACGATGTATCTATATATGTGGCTGTGAAATCTGCCAGAGATTGCATTGTGAGTAAAGAAGAGACATGAGGGGAACCTGGGCAAATTGGATGGGTCTGGCCCTTTTCTTCTGTCACTTCCCTTGTTCTCTTTTTCTAAGCTCTCTTTGCAAAGGCTGTCTCAGTTTCCCTTCTGATCTCTTAGCACCAGTATTTTCCCATCTGATTCAATCAATATACTCAAATCCACTTCTGCCTCAAGTTTGTAGCCTCTGTGAACTATATCCAGACGTGT